CTACCTGAATAATTAATTGATTAAATAAACTAAATGAGATAAATTGGGAAATTAATTAAGTGAAATCAAAATCCCTAGTAGTTTTCAACCCCTTGATTCCTTTTAATCAATTTTTGGTTTACTTGACTCTGTATTTTACATTTATAAAAACAATTCTCTTCAATTATAGTTAAATAATAACAGATAACATAATTTTGGTATTTGGATTCACAATCCACATGGAAACTTTATATCTTATCTCATCATATATTACTTTGTAGCGATTCGTACACTTGCGAAATAAGGCTATCACGTTCAATTAATTGCAAAATTTTATAGTTGGTTTTTTTTAAAAAAAAATATATATATTCAATCAAATTATACAAATATAAAGAAAAAATAATATTAAAATAAAATAATATTTTTTTCTTTTCTTTCTCCCCCTCCAAAAAATAAAATCTTTTAAATAATTTTTGTTTACTTGACTCTTGTTTATTTTACATTTATAAAAACAATTCTCTCAATTATAGTTTAAATAATAACAAGATAACATAATTTTGGTATTTGGATTACAATCCACATGGAAACGATATCTTACTCATCATATATTACTTGTAGCGATTCGTACACTTGCGAAATAAGCTATCAGTTTTCAATTAATGAAATTTATAGTTTGGTTTTTTTTAAAAAAATATATATATACAATCAAATTATACAAATATAAAGAAAAATAATATTAAAATAAAATAATATTTTTTTTCTTTTCTTTCTCCCCCTCCAAAAATAAAATCTTTTAAATTACAATCAAAAAATTAAATTAAATATTTAAAAATAACTTTGAAAAGTTCAAAATTTTAAAATTTTCAAATGCATTATTATCATATATATTTATTTAAATAAAATAAATTTAAAAAAGTTAAAACTTAAAAATTTTTGAACGGCTTAATTATCTACAATATTTATTTAAAAATTAATTTTAACAAAATATACCCAATCAAATCAAAAAAATTTAAAATATTAATTTTTTATAAACCAAAATGTAGAAAAAAAATATAGAAATTTAAAAATAAATATGTTCCTTAAAAAATAAATTAAAAATTAAAAATCTTCAAAGGCATGTATATTTAAAAATAAATTTATAAAAAAATCCAACCAAATTATAAAAAATAAAAAATAAATAAAAAATCAGTCCTAATCAAAATATTTTAAATAACAATCAAATATTATATATTTTTTTAGTATGTTTTTCTTATCTTTATCTCTCTCCTAATCAAAATATTTAAAATTACAATTAAATATTATAAATATTATTTTTTAATTGGATATAACTAAAATTATTTTAGAATATTTTAAATTCCACCAAGAATACTATCAGAAAAACCATTATTCCCTCATATTCTCATAATTATTATTATAGATTAATTAGATAATATATGACTTAGATTATTGATATTTAGAAAATAAATATTCATAAGTTCTTAACTAAAATTTCATATGTTATATTACTTTCTGATTTTTCCTGTTCTGAAAAAATAAATGTTTTAGTGATATAATATTGCCTATGTAGCTCTCACAATACACCAATCTACACTAGTAACACTAACGCTCCAGTATAGAACAACAGCTCCATCCTCCATTATCGTTGGACACAGAGGTCCAATTCTTCTTCAACACTATCATATGTTAGAGAGCGAGTTCCTAAAGGATATTGAACTTAATGGAAAATAATTATTAGTTCAGGTATCAATTGATAAAATTTAAATAATTAGCTAAAATTGAAAACAATATTGAAGTTTAAGCTTTTTGCTTTTATTCAATAGGCCTTTTAAATTGAAATAACATGGTTGATCGGTCGGTATTGGCTTAGTAACGGTCGATCTCACTAATAGTCATATCACCACTTTTCTAACGTCAGTCAGACGAAGGTCGTAATTGGTCCATTTTTCTTATATTTGGTGTATTAGGTGTTTGCTTTTTACAATGTGTAGTAAGACATGAATCTGATACAACTGTATATGCTTTTGACTGCATCTTTAGTTAATTTATGTTTGAAAATTCCATAATGTCATCGGACGTAATTTTAGTATATTCATATATTAAAAATATATTTATTTCTATTACATTCAAGGTCATTTGGAGGAGCAATAGGAACCAGCTTTGGCATTTAGATTCTAAACAGATAGCTAATAACAAATTTAGTGTTTGTTGGTAGCTCTAAACATCCCCGATTTCTTTATATTTCACTATATATATCTTCATTAATCCTCACCCTTTTATTTTAAATATTTTTGTTCAGAAAAATACTATAAGGTATTCTTTAAAAATTTTTTCATACTTTATCTTTTTTTTTTTCCTAGCGTATGTTCATAAATACTCTCGTTTCAACGAAATTTTTATCATTGGTTTAATCCATGATGAGATCATGAACCCGTTCTGGATAAATAAATCCATTAGAATTTAGAAAATACATTTATAGTATATATTTAAATTGATGATAAAATTTAAATATATATATATATATTATGAAAAGTATTAGAATTTTTAATCCAATTGACCCCATTGAAAAGCCATATTAAATAAATGACCATATTGAAAAATACACCAGCCATGGATGATTGATGAGATCTACTGGGGCTTGAAAATCAACTTCCATATATAGACTGGACTTGCAGATAAAAAAAAATTAAATATTTCCTGTCCTGAACTTGCGTTTGTAACTTGAAATGGACAAAGAGCCTTAATTGTGATTAAACCCGATTAATAAGTCCGATAATAGGTCTGGATACCCGTCGCAGACACTCAAAAAAAGAATCAAAATAGAAACTTTTCCACTTTTGTTCCTGTTCTGTTTTTCACTGAGAGCAATAAGATTAATAGATCATAAAATCTGAGAAATGAAATTATTATGAATTTGTATAACTTCACAGAATCAAAATAGTTCCTTCTGTTGCGTCAACTCCAAAATGGGAAGATCTACGGAGTGTGGAAAACATTATGAATTTGTATAACTTACAATTACTTGAACGAGGCTTCCCAAATTATACGTGTTGGTGAGACTTGGGATTAGTGATTCACTCTGTCACTTTCTCTGTAATTTATATTTTCTTTCATCTCAATTATATATTTCCATGGTATCTCATCCCCATATTTTATTTTGGGGCTTAATATAAAAACGGTGTGCTTTGATTATTTTAACTAGGGTAGGTTAAATTAACACAGGTGTTAGAGGTGGATCCCATAATTAATAATTTTCATTTTTGAATTCAGTCCAAATGTAAATTTAAGGTATAATCTATATTATACAATCCATTCGTCCTATTTTATTTACTTGTTATTCCTTTTTTGGATGTTTCAAAATATTTACAAGGTTTCTAAATTTAGATATGTAAACAATTGTTTTTTCCAAAATAACTTTTATTATCTTTCATTAGATGATGAACTTTTATTAATATCTTCAATGAGTTAAATTAACTAAATTCTTAATATGCGTATTTTATTAAACCATGCAAACAAAATGTGGCTGAGGAAGTATAAATTAGACGGCACTTGAATTCATTTTTTAGGAAAAAAAATGACTGATATTATTCTTAGAGATAAAGTTTTGTAGGCAATTTAAAATAATTCGAATACTTGATTTCTATTTTTCTAGAGATTTATCTGATCGGAAGTCTATAATTAAAAAATATATTAAAACATAATAATTAATTTATCATTGCATATAACATATTTGAATCCTTTTGAATTGCACACATTTAAATCCTGGAAAAATAAATAAAAAAATTAAACTAAACTAAACAAAATACAAAATGAAAATGAAAAAGCAATGAATCACCGCAATGTTATTCTTTCAACCAGTAATAAATTAAAAAGAATTAAGTTAAATTTTTAACAAAAGAAAAAAATTTATAAAATTTATAAAAAAAAGAGAATTGTCAAAAAAGAGAGAATCTTGAACTTTTAATTTTTATATAATAATATATAAATATTTAAATTCTCAATCAGCAAGGAAGAATACTATTCACCATCTAACCGTGAGATGGAAAACAATAATTTACTCAAAAACTAAAATCATTATCAAACAAATCAAAGGAGATTTTTTTTTTTAAAAAAAAAAGAAAACTATTCACCATCTTATCTTTTGATTTTTCAAACTATATAAGATTAATTTTAAATTTTAGTGATAATTATTCCATCTTCTCTTTTGGTTTTTCAAACTATACAAGATTAATTTTAAATTGTAATGATGATTATTAAAAATTTAGGATATTAAATTGAAACGTGTAAGGAAGTTAGCAAGGGAAAAATTATAATGTTAAATTTAAATTTTAGAACACTTAAAAAGCTTTGTTCAACATAGGTAATGTAAAATGCATAAAATATCATTGAAAAGTGGGAATAATTAGACAACATTGAATTCATGGAATTAAATTATACTACCTCCGTTCCATAATACTTATCACATTTGAGAAAATAATTTGTTTAAAAATTCTTGTCGCATTTGTAGTTTCAAAGAGTCATATATTTATTTTTTTACTTTACCCTTTGTATATGACCAATAATTATTACTTTAACTGAATGATTTTCTTAAAGAATTAGTATTAAATTAATAGTAATATAATCAATTTACTTAACAATTTATTATAACTTGAACAAATTTTAATTTCTTAAGGGGCGTGAAATTTCTCAAAGAAAAGTTACACCGAAAAGGACAATTTTAAATGAATTAAATTTTCATTCTTCGAAGGGGAGATAGAGAGCCACAATAAGAAAGTATTTTTCTAAAAGAAAATTTATTTAAATTATTTTGGTCAAGTTTGATAAAATAAACAAGTTAAATAAGTAAAAAATTGAAAAATTATGGTAGTTTTATCATAAAAAGTTGGATTGCTTAGTTTTGTGATTCATTTGAACATTCCACCTATTTTTGTGAAATTTGGTGTAACTTTGTTCAATTCCATAAAATTGAATTCCTAGAATTGAAATTTATATATATATATATTTTCATTCTAAACACAAAAATATGGATTTATAATGAATTCCACAAAAATTTTATAGAATCTATTTGTTCAAAATAAGGGTACAAATCAAAATTCTAGAAACAGGTTATAAGAGCTCTGACGAAGGTTTGGTAAAAGAAGGTTCTCTCGTTCCCTAAATCACCAAAAGCATGTGAGTCAAACTTGCATCAACATTTTTCTTCTTAGGAAGGTGAATCCAGAACACGATGTCTGTACACTGCCAGCAATTCCTCAGCTTCATTCGGAAACTTTGATATAAACTTCTGTAGAAACTCCCTTTCTGTCAAATTCAACACAACAGCACAACTCGGCTGCTTCTTCAATAACTCTTTTGATTTTAAAATCTCCAAAACCTTGTATCGAGGAATCACTCTTTTTTCCAAGCTCTGCATCAACAATGCAGGTCTATTAACTAACACCTCCTTTTTTACCTTAACTGTGTTCAAAAAGAAATCAAGTCCCAACTTTAACTTCTTCTCAGATGTCCTTGGAAAATCTGGTACCCTTCTAAACATTTTCAAGCATTCATGCTGTGAAAACCCAAAAGTCTTCAGAATTCCAAATTTTCTCTCAAATGTCTCTTCAGTCAAGCTACCAGCAGTATATAAAGCATGAACCAACATTTTTGAATTGACTGAGAACCCCATATTTAAAGCCCGAGAAACAAGGTCTCTAAGCTTTGGATTCTTGCATAACAAAAAGCTTAGGCCTTCTGCTTAACAACTTGGAGAGCTGAGACCCAACTATACCACAGCTCTGCAAAAATGCTATATTGGATAACAATAATGATTCAGGATTCTTGTAGAGAATCCACTGGCATCTAGTTATAACCTTTACCAAATCCTCATTATTCTCATCATTCAACAAAATTTCCTTACAAATTTTAATGCGAGGAACCAATTTTTTCTCCAGACTAGCAGTTAAAACCCTAGAATGCTTGGAAATGAACTCGCCCAGATGGTTACCCACAAGACCCATATCTTGAAAAAGCTTAATTTTTGGTTTTAGGGACCTTTCAACATTAGCAAAGAGAATTTGGGGCAATGGACGGATAACAGATTGGATGTGGGAATTGGAGAAACCAAGTTCTTGGAGAAAGTGAACCACAAATTTAGCATTTTCAATGGCTTTGGAATGAGAGATGCGAGTGCAGATAGAGATTGCTCGTCTTTCAGAGAATTTGAGGATTTTAATTAGGTAATCAACAAGCACTGGGTTTGGGGCTTTTGAGGTTTTAGCAAGTGAAGAGAAACAACAACATACAGAAAAAGGTAATGGCTGTCTGGGAATGAAGTGAAGCCTGTACAGATGAGAATTTGAAATAACAGATAGTGACTTGACAATTAGCATTTGCAAATTGGGAGATTAGGATTGAATTTGAGTCACTGAATAGGGTTTATGGTATGAGGGAGCAACTGAATAAATGGACAAGCATGTGCTGCCTTGCTAGTAACTCTGAAAGATATCTGTAATTAAAAAACAAACTGAAAATAGTCCGATTGACATTCACACAAACAAGCACATGCATGTTAAGAATATGAAGTTTGCAGCCAGTTGATGATGATAGACATAATGAGGAAAAGCAGCTCATAACTTGTGTTGCAAGAGAACAACGTATACATTATAGAGATATGATTAAGCTATTACACTATATTATCATGTAAATCAATAATCACATATAATTAAAATAAAGTAAATGCCAGCTAAGTATCATCGAAGTTCATAATGTGAAAAATGAAATCACAGCATTCTGAATAGAATAAGCATCATGCAATATCACTGATGGAAGAGACATTAGAATTGGGGCTCCAGAAGTAAAGTGTTGACGAAATTTGAAGCACATGAGAGAAGCTGATCTAACACACACAAGGTAACTATAAATCAGTTAATCTACTGGCATCCAAGCTAGTACAGCAAAATCACCATATGGTTATTGACAATTTCCCAAAGTTTGACAAACATGGAAGTGAAACACCTAGATGCAAATAAACTAAACTCATATCAAAGCATGTTTCAGTTATTAAAAATTGCTAAAACAAAAATCTTTACTTTGCATTAATCACAAAAACAAAAGGCCAGCTCCCTCATTAAAATGAAGGAGAGAGAAAGAGTTATTAACCAACTCAATCTCCGCCTCTAACTGAGTTTTCCTTTTTAATTTTCCTTCAGTTTCAAATTATCCAAACAATGTTTTTCAAAGAAAAGAAAGCATCAATATATACAAGTTTACTTTCTCGTCCTCCAAGCATTGTTCTTTCAAAGCAAAAGAGCAATCATTGAAATTGAATTTTTTCTAGCATCAACCACACAAGAACCACCGTCATGCTCAACTTTGATAATCAGAGATTTTGAAAGAGAAGACTTACCTGAGTTAATTTTCTTGACATTCAGTTGAATCTTGGGAAAACCACGCCCTAAATGAATTGGTAATCTACAAGCGGTCGGCAGCAAGTGTGAGCGGAAGGAAGAAGACGATGAGGGGAGAACGGCGCGTTTTACATTTCGACATGTACATATAATACTATGTTATTTTTCAGGTTAATGCCAATAAAATTTGGATTGTAAATAATTGGAAAAAGTATCATAGATTATTTATATTTTCAATATCATTAATATTTTACGTTTGTGTATTGATATTTAAACACAACCACGCGTGTATTTTCAAATTAATTAATTAATTAAAATTCTCTACATTCTTAGCCAATAGAATTTAATAAAAGTTAAAATATTAAAATTTCTAATTGAATTAAATTCTTAATTATTTACAAAACAGTTGCTTCATATCATCCAAACGACACTACTCCTTTAATTGGCTGCATCAGTGCTCCACTGAATCCATTCGAGAAAAAAAAAATAAAAAAAGGAATATCGTTTTACAAAAACTCAAAAAGGAAGCTTGAAAGATTCAGACTTATGAAGGCCATAGTGTAAAACCGAAAGAAAATAGCAGCCAGAAAAAAACTTTTTGATCAGAAACATTACAAATCAAAATTTTAGAAAATTACAAAAGTTAAGCTCTTTTAGAGAGATATACATATGGTTTGCTAAAAGAAGGTTCTCTGACACTCTAAACACCAAAGCATGTTATTCAAACTCGCATCAACATTTTTCTTCTACTGAGGATGAATCCAGTGTATGACCTTTATAAGCTACCAACAATTCCTCAGCCTCATTCGGAAACCTTGATATAAACCTCTCTAGAAACTCCTCGTCTGTTAAATGCAACACATTCATAAAACTCGGGTCCTTCTTCAGTAACTTTTTTGATTTCAAAATCTCTAAAACCTTGTATCGAGGAATCACTCTATTTTCCATGCTATGCAACAACAATGTAGGTGTATAAACCAACACCTCCTTTTTGAACTTAACTGTGTTCAAAAAGAAATCAATTCCCAACTTCAACTTCTCTTCAGATGTCCTTGGCAAATGTGGTGCTTTTCTAAACATTTCCAAGTACTCATGCTTTGAAAACCCAAAACTCTTTAAAATGCCAAATTTTCTCTCAAATGTCCCCTCATTCACGCCTACAACAGAATATAAAGCATGAACCAACATTCTTGAATCCACTGAGAACCCCATATTTAAAGCCCGAGAAACAAGGTCTCTAACCTTGGATTCTCGCATAATAAAAAGCCTAGGCGACCTGATTAACAACTTCGAGAGCTGAGACCCAATTATCCCACAACTCTGCAAGAATGCTATATTGGATAACAATACTGATTCAGGTTTACTGCAGATAATCCAATTGCATCTAGATATGACTTTTACTAAATCCTTATTATTCTCATCATTCAACAAAATTTTCTGCAAAATTTTAATGCGAGGAACCAATTTTTTTTCCAAACTAGTAGTTAAAAGTATAGAATTCTTTGAAATGAACTTAACCAGATCATTACCTACAAGACCCAGATCTTGAAAAAGGTCAATTTTTGGCTTTAAGGTCTTGTCAACATTAGCAAAGATAATTTGGGGTGCTCCATTGATAGTAGATTGGATATTGGAATGGGAGAAACCAAGGTTTTGGAGAAAGCGAACCACAAATATAGGGTTTTCAACGGATTTTATCCCAGAGTAGCCAGTGCGAGTGGAGAGAGAGAGTGCTTTGGTTTCAGAGAATTTCAGGTTTTTAATTAGATAATCAAATAGGGCAGGGTTTGGGGATTTTGAGGTTTTAGCAAGTGTTGAGAAAGAACAAAATACAGAAAAACATATTGGCTGTTTAGGAATTAAGAGAAGACCGCATAAATGAGAATTTGAAATAACAGAAAGTGACTTGACAAGTAGCATTTGAAAACTTGGAGATTAGAATTGAGTCAGTTGACAGGCTTAGGGAGTAAATCAATATACAACAGACTAAGCTTGTGCCACCTTGGAAGTAATTCTGAAGATATCTGTAATTTTTTTTAAAAAAAAATGAATATAGTCAGTTGATATTCATATAAAAAAGCACATGCATGTCAAGTATATGAAGTTTGTGGCCAGTTGATAATCATACACATAATAAGGAAGAATAGTTCATGACTCGTGCTGCAAGAGAACACATAAGTGACGGAGATAAAAGATGAGCTATTCCATTACATTACCATGTAAATCAATAATCAAATGTAACTAGAATAAAGTAAATGTCAGCTATCACCTAAGTTCTTTATTAATATGAAAAATGAAAACCAGAACATTCTAAATAGCATAAGCATAATGCAATATCATTTATGGAGGGGACACCGGAAGTAAAAGACATCTAAGGTACAGAGGGCATAATGCATAATGCAATATCCAGAAGGCATGTAAGGTACAACACAGCCATTCAAATTTCATCAATTTTAAATGCAAAGGCAACATATTAATAAACAAGTAATAATAAAATTTGAAGCAAACAAGAAGTTGATCTCACACACACAATATAAATATAAACCACTGAATCCACTAGCACTCAAGCTAGTCCAGAAAAACTGCAATGCAGTAGACGATATAGACAATTTCCCAAAGTTTGACAGAAATGCAATTGAAACACCTAAATGATACTCAACCAAACTCAATATTTCAGTTATTTAAAATTACTATACAAAAATCTTTACTCTGCATTTATTTTTTTTTTTTTAAAAAAAAAAGGCTAGATGATCCCTAATTAAACTTCAGTAAACAAAAAATGATAATCTAAATCTTTGAACTACCTTCTTCACTTAAAATCATAAGTTTAGAAATAGTTAAACAAAGGAATGTACTTAAATAAAGTAAAACATTACATAACTTTAGTAATAAATTTTGTTTCAAGTATTCAGCTATGTATTGTTTTAAATTGATCTTGACATTAACACCAGCGTAAGGAAATAATGAAGCAAAAAATGTAGCAATTTGTAATCAAATAATCACAAGAAGAATACAAAGCTTCTGCAGCCACCATTCAAGGAAAAACAAACAGCTTGCTTTGATAAAAAAATTTTAGATTAGACTCCCCAAAAGAAGTTAGATTTTGCAGTTTTGCTTTCTTTAATACCCACCTGTACTAACTCATGCCCAAACGATAGAAGCTCCAGGAACGGGACTATAAGCATATCAAAACTAAAATGGGGGAACAAAGGTTGCTACCAGTGTTCTCTGGGTAATATTTGGATGTCCTATTTATTCACAATACTAGCAAGAGAAGAAAACAATTGAAAGCTAATAGAAAGGAACAAAAAATGTCACCAGAAGTGATGGATCCTGCACTGCTATTGTCACTCTGGAACCCAAGAGCAGCTGTAATTAGGTAAAGAGATCATATTTTAGTGTTTACGTTAGCTGAGTTTAATAAAAATCTATAGCTTATTTCCAGTTGTAGATTGGAAGTTATAGAACATATTATAAAGGCCAATATTGATAAGATTTTGCAGTTTTGCTTTCTTTAATACCCACCTGTACTAACTCATGCCCAAACGATAGAAGCTCCAGGAACGGGACTATAAGCATATCAAAACTAAAATGGGGGAACAAAGGTTGCTACCAGTGTTCTCTGGGTAATATTTGGATGTCCTATTTATTCACAATACTAGCAAGAGAAGAAAACAATTGAAAGCTAATAGAAAGGAACAAAAAATGTCACCAGAAGTGATGGATCCTGCACTGCTATTGTCACTCTGGAACCCAAGAGCAGCTGTAATTAGGTAAAGAGATCATATTTTAGTGTTTACGTTAGCTGAGTTTAATAAAAATCTATAGCTTATTTCCAGTTGTAGATTGGAAGTTATAGAACATATTATAAAGGCCAATATTGATACAGAAGAATAAAAAGTTAAATACTTGGATGCCTGAAGACGAGCAATATCACACTGTGAACAGTCTGAAATGAGAACTTATGTGTCTTTTACCTGCAATCATTATAAAGACTAATGCAATCATTATCTACTCTTTCAATCTTTTATGCAATCAGTATGATGGTGTTACAACCAATGTACTTGGTTGATCTCAAAGTTAATTGAATAAGAAAAATAAACCTTTTTTTTGATATCCATGATGGTATATTTGTTACTATCCAGTCCTGCTGCCAATTTTTACAGGTTTAAAAGCAAGACAAGCCAAATTGACTAGAGGTCTTACAGCCAGATGATATTTAACAAGTAAATTGCCAACACCTTGACAAAGTATATAAAATAAAGAATAAGAAGACAACTTCATTTTATATTAAATCAAACTAATGAATGTATAATAACTACAGATAACTTAGCATCACAAAATTAGAAACAATTCTGAAAGACACAAGATACCTTTTCGTTTCAAGGAACAGTGGAAGAAGTAATGTCATACGCATAACAAGAGAACTATTAGAACCCATGGCAGCTTATGCTTTCAATGGCAGAAGGTAGAGAGAGTGAAAGCAAATCAAAAAGACAGGATTTGCCTACTACTCCTTGAGTAGTAAAAACGAAATTTCCTTATTTAGTTAAAGCAGAAGTAAAACTTTCCCATGTTGATAGTGCAACCACCAACACCAGCAAAGATCAGAAAAAGTGACACCAATGAAATGTAAAGCCTAGTGAATTCCTGAAAAAAAGCTATTGCTATCATATTAAGCAAATAAAAATAAAGGAAAAAAATACTATTAACTAGGAGTAATTCCCAAAACAGTCTATATTTCATATTCAGAAACCTTCTGTTTTGTTATTTCCTTTATCTTTCTCAATCCAATTGATGAGAAATTTCAAAAACAAAATACTTCTCACAGCTTGTCTGAAGAAATTCCATTATTATTTTTATTTACAAGATACAGCTAAATTGTAATATTTCATAATCACAGCTAGAATTCTTTGGAAGAAATGTCTTCTTCCTCAATAACTCAAGAGAAGCCCATAACAAGGATAAAAAATATATATATATATATTTGTTCAAGAAGCAAAGGCCACCAAACATGCATAAGCCAGAACACTCTCCTTTTTCACTATTCCACTCCAATAAACAAACATAAACCAAAGACAAGTATCCTAATGAACAAAAGCAAGAAATAATAACAGAAAAGAAAACTCCAGCGCTTGCTTTTCATTGCGGAGCATAAACAAATTAAAGAGGGAAAAAATAAATGAAAATATTAGGGGGGGAAAAAAAAAAGAAAGGTAAACTCAAAACAGATGATAAAGAAGAGCCGACCATGTCCTGAAGCTGCATAAGCGACTTAACACGTAATGGAACTGACTGCTACTCACTCATTACAATATTTTCACTTATTTTCAGTGCTTGCCTTTCAGTACAACATTCCACGGAGAATGAACAGGGTGATGAAAATTATGAAGATGCAGATGCAATGGTAAAATTTGCTGAAACAAATGGTATTCGTATTTGTGGCTATAACATCTGCTAACCCAACTACAGGAAATTAATTACATGAAAATACATGAGAAACCACAAAAGAAGAGAGACCCAAAAGAAATTTGAAACCAACTTATAGAGCATTAATCTCGTCACCAACCGGAAAAAAAAGTACAAAAAAAAATGAAGAGAAGCTTACCTCAAAGAGAATCGAGTGAGCGAAGAGGAAAGAAGATCAAATGCTGATCTTGTTGAGTTGTGATTTGGGAGGGAGAGAATCGAGAAAACACAGCTAAAAAGAGAGACTCGATTGGAGAAGATTCACAGCAAAGAGTGTAAGATTGAATACATGAGCATGTGAGAGTCTCAAAAGAGGAACAAGCTTTTGGGTTTAGGGATTTGGAATCAAAATGTTGAGAATCGCTTCAAATAGTTTGGGTTTCATTGATTCTAGCTTGAGAAAGATATTTCTGGTGGGATTTTGATGAGATAGTGAAATTTGGATTTGATTTTTGGAGGGAGGCGTCAATATTTTTTTTTTTGGAAAGGGAGGGAAGCGCTAAGTTGAGACAAGGCAAAGGGAGAGATTTGATTCGGGCTGGTGGAGGCGGTTTTATTGAATCTCAAACAGCCTGTAAAGTTCTAATTAGTTCAGATCACAATTCCGACGGTTCTAGGGTTAAATCTTTTTTTCCGGGAAAATTAAAATAAATTTGAAAAATATCATAATAAAATTTTTTTTGACAAAATAATAAAATTTTATTTTAAATAACTTTCAAAATGTTTATACACATAGAAAAAACAAAATTCATTGATTTTTATAAATAAATACAAAATAATCAAATAAATTTTGATTTTATTTTTCCAAATGTACGGAAATCTGTCTTAATTTCATTGATTTGATCAATAAGTATGCTATGGATACATAGATCATATATAGATAATTTTTACTTATCAATTAATTAGCTAGCTTGCCAGCACACCGTGGATTTGATATTTAAACCACGAGGGATTCTTAACAAAGAATAGCAAGCTTCTGCCAGTGATGTCTCAGATCGGTACCTTCGAAGGTTGGTATTCTTTTTACATTCTCAGATGCCATGAATTACATTAGTGTTGAAGGTGAACTAGAGCTGATGATTACTTGTACTTTACATGCTTCTTTTATTGTAACAAGCAACAATGAATAGAACTGATAAAAAAAGAAGCACACAAGTTGTGTGTTGCCATCTGCAATCCAAGAATTGTCTTTAGCCATCTTCTGGTGCATCACTTTGTCCACAAAGCTTCAAAAAATAATTCTGCTACAAAATTTGGTTTCCAAGAAATGATTGGAGCAGACCAATATGCTTCAACTGCACAAATTTCCTTTTCTGATTCTGAGGCATGGAAATTCCAACAATTCATTTCTAGCCCCAAAATGTTCCAAGAAATGATTGAATCAGATCGGACCAAGATGCTTCATTCTACCCCTTGAAGTATAGATAAAAAGTAAGAACCAGGAGAACTACACAAAATTGTTCTTCAGCCAGCCTCTTGGATCAAATGGAGTAGCCTGTCAAATCCCAACTGATAATGCTCAATTATTCCTCACAGTTCAATAATTAAACAATATTTAAAATCCAAGAATGCTCAAATTCCCATATAACACAACAAACATTCAACCAAAGAATGCTACATAACATACATATAGCAAGAACTAAACAATTTTCAATCAAAGAAAGCTCAAATTTCCATATATTACCTCAGAGTAATTAATAGAATCACTCTTTAATATATCCCAATTTTATGACTTCCAATCTCCACCTGAAAAAGGTACACGTTACCCCATCTTTACTTAGTTAAAATGCTAAACAGGCTGTTTCCAGGGTTGTGTGATTCAACATTTTAATATATACAGTGTAATAACAAATGATTGAATTCTTTTTTTTATTTTGTATTATTAAAAATAATGTAGTTTATTTTTTACAATAAACAAAAAAAATGTAATAATAGAAGTTTCCCTGAAACAATATATATGATTATGGTACTAACTTGGCTAGTTGGGATCACAAAATTTGCAGAACAATCTCTTAGAATCCACAAAGGATCAATTTGGAAGCAGGAAAGACCAAACCTGAGAAGCAAACAAGACAAATAGTAATAAGATATTGAGAAAACCAAGTAATTGGCTTCCATTTGATCTCAACACTTGAGCTTTTCATTCTCTTTCCACTTTGTGGCTCCTTTGACAAATCAAAACTTGACCCTTTCATTCTTAGCTCTTGAATACACCTTGTAAGAGCTCTATTATCATTTTTTTCCCTTTGCAATTGTCTCCACACCTTCCAATACCTGTAAACTTTAATTTGAACCAAAAATATGAACACAAGGGAAGTGGATAAAGATACAAGACTTGGTATCCACCAGTTTTTGCAAGTATGGTGATCTTTGCTGCTATTATCAGAAGAAGAGGAAAACAAGATTGTTAAAAAAATCCCATGAAAGACTAAAAAGAAAGAACAAAGCTGAAAAATTTCGCGTTTAATAGAATCCATTCTTGTCTCTTTAGCAGCAATTTTGCGGCTGAATAAATCCTCTTCTCTTTGCCAGAGCTTGAGAAGAAGAAGATGACCTGGACTATGGGAAATTTCTGCTAGTGGGTGATTTTGAATTGCTGTTACTGTGTTCATGGCGTATAACATTTTTTGTTGGTGCTCTTCATCTACTGGGATTTCTACTATATGGGCATCTTTCAGTTCCGCCATTTTTGAACTAAAATGAGATTAAAATTAAGAAAGTACAGAGATTCAATTAAAAACGAAAATGAAAAAGATAAATAATGAACCGTTAGATGTTATCAGAATCAGAGATAATGAAATGAGAGACAGAGAGAGTAAGATTGAGAATTGCAAATCGATAGCGAGAGTAAGATTGTATGGTGAGAGAGACTTGAGAGAGTTTTCAGATATTTAAATTGTTGTAAAACGCCTGGGATGAGATTCTCAACGGTTATATTCTCATTTTTCATGCCCCCTAACGGTCAGATTTATTTCCTCCTTCATTCCATTTTGGGTTTCAACGGTTATAATTTTTGCTGGGCATAGGCAGGCCGGGTCCGGAGTTGGGTTCAATGTCTAAACTCCAGTCCGACCTCATCCATGGCATTCGTTATTTTAATTCTTTGGCACTCTTAATTTTTTACTTTGATCTGTCTAATAATGTAATTTATAAAATTATGTCTATTAAAAACTTCAACTTGTAAGATTAAATAAATTAAATACCTATTATATAATAGAAAAATTTTAAAATTATTGTTTTAAAAGTTATGTTAACTGTATATCAAATTAATATTTTAGATATAAACGTCAAAAACTCTAAAAACTATTGATGTTAGTGTAAAAAAAGTATGTAAAATTATCAAAATTTAAAAGTTTAAGTGTACAATAAATTATTCACAAAGTTTAGAGTACCGTAAAGTTAAAGTTACAAAGTTGAGCAAGAGTAAATTTATACATTTGACCGAAAATATATAATTAAGTTCTTAAATGACTAAATATATAGTTTACTCCATAAAGTTTAATAAAAAAAAAAAAAAACTTATGGCATCTTGAACTCTAAAGTCGACTTTATAGCAGTTTAAACTTTATTTTTTGCAATTATCTCACACCTCGTCATGCTAACATTAATAATTTTTAAAGTTTTTTACCTTTATATGCAAAATTTAAATTTTATATGTGGTGAGTACAACTTTTTAAATAATAACTTTCACATTTTTCAACTATTTAATAAGTGTTCTGATAGTCAATAGGTCAATTAGAGTGTCTAATATATACAATTTTATGAGTTGAAGCGTTTAAAATGTTAAAGTGAAAGTTGAGTATGTCATAAAAAGTGAATTTATGTATTCAATAGTTATGATGGTTTATAGAGGTGTAACGTCCTAGGCCTAGCAATATATTGTTCATTTTGGGCCCAGTAGCACGAATTTGTTCGTAGGCTAGAGCCTCACCTCTAAGCCCAAAAAGTATTTTGTTAAATGCTAATTTAAAGCTTACACATTTTATGTACATTACTTCTACCTTATGCTTAGCTGATGTAGAATTTGCCTAAGGTAAACTAAACATTTCAAGCTAGCACCTCATCTAGTGGGAATGTTACAAGTTTTAGGTTCAATTCTATCTCATGAATACACAAAAGTCTATACGAATATTAAAATACATAATAGTATTATAAATTTATAATCCAATTCATTGTTTGTTACTGGTTATTTAGTTAAAACTTAACAATTTTTAAAAACTTTAGAATTATAAATTCATTTAATAAACACATGATATTTAATTTATTTAAAGAGATAAATTTAATATTATAACTCAATGATTCAATTTTAATACTTTTAAAAATAATATGATATTAAATTAATCAAATTTTAAATTTATCGAAAGTTTATTTTACTTTTTTGTTTAACAGTAAATGATAATCTATAATGTATTTTCATAATTTCACTTGTTTTACAAAATATTTTAAAAATAGCATTTTTAAATTTCAAAAATTAAAGAAATAATTCTCTCAATAATAATTTAAATAAAATTATCAAATAATAATAATTTAAATAAAGTATTCAAAATAAATTATAATATATAATAATATTAATATTTTGTAAAAACTATGGAAAAGATAATAACTTCAAAATTTGATGACAAACTAATATTGTTTATAATGCATATACTTATATATATATACATATATTAATATATATATATATAATATATATTTATTATATATTATAATTATATTATATATATATATATATAATATGATATATATATATTCATATTCAATATTAAACCATTCATTTTAAAATATGAATTATAAAATACATGAAATACAACAAAAATAAAAGTTATAACTGATTCTACCTTTGCTCAGAAAAAATACTTTAATTTAATGAAAATCGAATTTGAAAATTACAATAACATATTTAAATTTTTAAATACTAACAATTATTTTCATTGTAATTTTTAGTATGACAATTTCAAAAAGTCACTATTTCTTTTCCTATTGAGGGTTATTATTTTTATCAAATATTTGTATCATTTTGTGGTTAAGATAATATATTCATTAAAAAAATCTTGAGCATGTGTAATATATATATTTGTTTATATAGAATGATAAATATATTTTTATCCCCTGAGAAGAAATCCTGCTTTCGTTGAACAACACATTTAAAAAAAAATTAATTTTTAATAAAAAGACCAGATACTTTTGTCCTATTTTTATTATGCTTCTTTGTCCTAAAAGTAAAAATTAATTTTTTAAGAATATATATAATTATCAAAATAGTAATATTCATAAAAGCAAATTAATTTATACTCCTTCCATCTCATTTTGTTTGCTTGTTATTTCTTTTTTGGATGTCCCAAAATGTTAAGGTTTCTAAATTTATACACGTAAATAATTATTTTTTTCATGATAACATTTATGATTTTTCATTAAATGAATAACTTTTATTAATATTTTAATGCGTCAAGGGTTAAAAAGAGAAAAATAAGACTAAATTCTTAATACGCATATTTTATCAAACCATGCAAACAAAATGGGATAGAGGGAGTATTAATTTTTACTCTCTTTGTCCCAAAACATATGTCATTTTTTTTTTTTTTTTCATTTTTTTTTTTTTTTTTTTTTTTTTGTGATTATTGTTTTCCAAAATATAAGTCATTTTGAGTATTTTAAGGAGTAATAAATGATATTTTTTATTGTTACCCTTATTTATATTAGATACAATAGATATTTTCATAAGTAATTATTCATTGTGAAATAAAAGATAATTTAGTCAATTTACTCTTGATTTTATTATAATTTAGGAGATTAATTATTTTCTTAATTTTTATATAAAAACCTTAAACGACTTGTATTTTAGAACATATAAATACTATTTTAGAGACTAATCAATGTACTTATCGAATGAGAAAGGCAGATTTATGATTATGACTGAAATTAAGAGAATATATAATAGGGTAATTTATTATTTAGTCCCTCAGGTTTTACAAAATTAACCAACTAATTCAAGGTTTTGCCAAAATATCTAGCTAGTCCCTCAGGTTTTAATCCGGTCTAATTAAAAGGTCCTTCCGTTTGAAAAGTTGGTTTTTTCCGTTAATTATAGACTAAAGACTAAAACACCCCTCCCTAGCGACGTGCGACCATTAAGGGGGAAAATTATATCTAGTCCCTCAGGTTTTACATAAAATCTAACTAATTCCCAAGTTTTGCGCAAATAATCCGCAAACTGAAGCTATCCCACTTTACTCTTAACTCGCGTTCTTAATGGAAAGCGTTAACCTGCCCAATTATCTATTCGACGACCTCGTAAGTATGGCCGGTGACACCGCGACCTACACAACATCTAGGTCTGTGTGTGCCGCTTAACTTCAAAGACTAATGAAGTGAGCATCATGATAATTAACCTACACCCACCTCTACTTGGACACGCTCCTGCTAAATCAGAAATGATCGCAACCAGTATGGAAGCGGATAGTAGTTGGATCATGACAATCTTATCTCGCCGAGGCCCAAAGTATACCTAGATTTGTTCACCTTTGTCCTTCCCTCGGCATAATGATACACTAGTTATCTTTTGCCGACCAGGAGTAACCAATTGGCATCGTCCTCCTTCATAAAACAGCCTAGCTATCTCTCAAATTCACTATGACACAACGGTTTGTCTTTTAGTCGTATAGGATACTCGATGCAAGATGATATCGTTACTCATACCTAGTAGGCGCGGCTGCTGTGGCTGCAGAGAGCCTAAGACTTACAGATACATAAGGTCTTACACTCTTCGAGCCCGCTATGTGCTTGAAACTATGTGTGTGACGAGTATAAATAACTATTAATTTTAGACCCGCGACAGAGGGTCTTCTCCGCAAATATTCTTTTATTTTTAGAAATATTAATGAATAATTATGTCGCGTCCCATCGACTTCCCGTCCATTACCTTAGATTTATATCCCCAGACTTTATTTATATTAAATTTAATAATTATTATTTTAGAGTGTGCTTTGCGACAAAAAATTGACAGACTGTATACTCGCGTGAGAGGAATCGCATTGCCTAGTGCATCGTGCTTCGTGATAACCCGGTGCCCTTATTTAAGGTTACGCTAATTAACATAGCTAATTACATATTTTGTTATAATTTTCAACATTGTAATAATATACGCCGTAGGCGTGCCGGGCTCCGCTCCTGAGTTATCGATACCAAAATACAGTTAAACTATTGTTTCTTAATTGAGTTTATGAATAATGCACACGACTACATATCTTTATAAATAGCTGAATCTTTTTTTTTTTTTTTTAGATCTTATCAATGATAATAGTTAATGTTCTTTGATAAAAATTGCATATTAAATATAATTAAAATAGAAATAGTATAGTTACTTTCCCCGAAAAAAGAAACGATTGAAGGATAAGGTGGGTAAAAAAAAAATGACAGCTACATACTGCCTGATGTTTTCTTGTTTCGCCACTGCGGTCCCAGAACGTTCGCTTTCACCCAGCGTCTCGCTCGTGGACGCACCAAGTAAGTCTTCCGCCCCGAATACATCGATCAACTCCACGTTTGTATGCCTCTATTCGCCGTGCCCCGCGTCTATAGAGCTCACCTTATCCCGTGCCGCCTCCTCGTTCAGATCCTGGTTAGCCTATCTTCTATTGTGCGTGCTCGATTGGGTTTTCCCCTATTCTCTACTGCTCGAATCTTCTCTCATGCTTTCCACACCCGAACGCTTGGTCACAGTCCCTCCGGCTATTTACTTTTTTTAAAGGTATTTACTTTCATATCACTTAAATTTAATAAAATTTAAATTACGATATCAAATTAATTTTTTTAATCATTTTTTAATACATGTCTTGTTCCATAAACTGTGTATATGAGAAGAAAGTATTTCCTCAGTCGCCACTGGTAGGTATGTCCAAACTATGTCTAATTTATCTGAAATACTTGTTATATTTGCAAGGGTTTAAGAGTAATAAATATTTTATTCATATTTCCTTTTGTGTATAATTAATAAAGCCTCTCTCTTATGGGATTACTTCAATTTAATGATTTTCTTAGAGCAATTATAATATTAAATTAAAGTTTAAGTAAGTATTGTCAAAATTTATTCAATAATTTATATATAATTTACAAATCAATAATTTTTTTTTTAAAGAACATGAATCTAAATGCTGACGAATATTATAGAAATGAAGATAGCTAATATTTAGAGACATAAATTATTTAATGCGCTTTCGATTTGCAAATATTCATAACTAAAACTAAACCGTACATTTAAGAGAGAAAATGATTATGTCTCCATCGGACTTATATAAACTCGTTTCAACTTTTCATTTTTAAAATTTAGCCGAACCCTAATTTCCCTACTTGTGTAGATTTAGCTTATGTCTATAACAATTCTAATTGCTGCATTAAAATGATAGGAAAATTATTATTTAGACTTTTAGTTTAATACAATTCCTCCCGCTTATCGCCCTTCATAGCTGGTTCCATCGTCAGCTAGGCACCCGAAAGGTGTTTTAGTCTTTTTAGTCTTCATTAACGCGAAAAAACTAAACTTTTCAGACGGAAGACGCGAAAAGACCTTCAATTAGACGCGAGTAAACCTGAGGACTAGTAGATATTGCCGAAATTCGGGATAGCTGGAGATAAATTATGTTAAAACCTGAAGACTACGATAATAATTTTCCCCTTTATTTCACGTCAGCTAGGGAGCGGGTGTTTAGTTCTTTTATTCTACGCACTTATGAACACTTTCGTGATATGGTACAAAGCACCTGACACTATATGTAACCAGATGTAACACCGTGTGTCGTGTCATCGTTCTTATATTACAGGTATGAATGAGCGTGAAGGCGACCTCGGACTGCCCGACTCCTGGTGTAGTAATACTCTGATTATTGATACGACGCCCGCAGTCATTATCGACACGTAGCCTGTCGACAGGGACTAGCGCCTAGATATTTTGGCAAAACCTTGAATTATTTGGTTAAGTTTTGTAAACCTGAGGACCTTAAATAATATAAATTCCCTATATAATAATTCATCCTATGCCAATGCCGTGCTTCTCCGGCTTAGGGTGATGCACTATTACAAAGGACTAGCTAGATATTTTGGCAAAACCTTGAATTAGTTGGTTAATTTTGTAAAACCTGAGGGACTAAATAATAAATTTCCCTATATAATAATTCATCCTATGCAATGGCGTGCTTCTCCGGCTAGGGTGTGCACTATTACAAAATTACAAAATAAATGAATATGAAGGAAAAATTACAAAATAAATGAATATGAAGGACGTATCTAGCATTATTATTATTGAATGAAACCAATGATGTTGTTATTGCAAAATAATGTTTTTCTTCGAAAATGAAAATTATTTTTTACTTTCATTGTTCTTGGCGAAGGGAGTGGGAGAGTTTGCGTTGAACAAGATCGAATCCATGACCTAAATCATAGTGATTGACCTGCAAGCGCTCTTTGCCATTAAACTACCCTTTCAGTTAGAAACACTCTTATTTCTTACTCCAAAAATAATATTTTTTTCATTCAAAATTTAATAATTCACAAAATTAAAGTCAAGACTCAAGAAAAGTTCATGGTTGAATACTATATAAGTATTATCGAAAATTTAACATAAAGATAAATGGCACACACAATCTAAGCATAAATTTAAAGGGTCTGAGTGTTTTTCAATAGTAAAAAATGAATAAAATAATGTAAAGAGTGATAATATTTCTAAATGACCATCAACTCTTATTTGAATAGAAAAAAATAAAAATAAAGGCGCAATTTAATAAATGTCAGAAATTTAGTTTTACATTAATAAAATGTTAATAAAAAAAATTTAAGAGACTGTCAATATTGGTTAAAATAAATAAGTAAAATCCTAAAACTATCCTGACGCAGTTTATGATTCAACACATACGAGACGATTGGACACGGCGGCGGTAACAACGACGACAATAAAGAAGTAAAATAGTAAAAGTGACGTCGTTTTAATATTTAAGGTCAAACTGATATTTTTAAAAATAAAACTTCTTATTCACAATATGACATTTATTACAATATCTCAAAAAATTTTAAATGTACAATTACTACGTGTTAAATCAATTATGTGTGTTTTAATTAATTTTTTTAGGTGTTGTATAAGATGTTTGGAGTGGGAGTTCCTCTTCGAGTTTAAATTCTCATAAACCACAAAAGTTATCATCATTTAGTGAATGAATGAATGTTGTTCAAAGGAAACGACTAACTTACCATATAATTCGAAATGATATTTTAATAATTAAACCTCCATGAATAAAACTGTTCAAAAAAAAAAAAAAAAACCTCCGAGAATAGAAAAATAATAAAAAAAAACTATCATGTAAATTTTTTTTGTGTGTAAACTATCGCTATCCGAGTTTCATTATAATTAATGTTTTTCGCCCTTTTTGTAGGTAGCTTGTTTCTTCGCCTCTTTTTATATAGAGCTTGCGTTATCAATTGAGCCACGACTCAAGTTAAAGATTTTTTTTAATGGAGAGCAAATTCAAAGAGTTCTAACATGTGCTAGTAATTTCATTCACTTATTATTCTTGAATTGAAAAATAAAGAGAAAGGGCAAAATAAAAAATAAATACCGGCGCCGGTGGTCGGTCAACGGAACGCGGTCAGTCTTCTTTTCCGGAAATCTAAATCCACCTTATTTATTTATTTATTTATATTTATTTCTTGTCTAAAAAGAAAAGATACAGACCCGACACACAAGAAATCTATACTTATACTATACTATAAATACTCTAATGCTCACTACTCACCTCCAAAAATTCATTTCATTTTCATTTCATTTCGATCAAACAGAGAAATCGGAATCGAAAAGCAAACAGAGGCCAAATGCATCTGTATAATGCATGGCTACCGCCACCGGTGGCAGAAGAGACCAAGAAGGAGAGAGAATCATTTGCTCGTGTGGTCAACTCGGTCAAGGCCTCTTACAAGCCCGACGATCCCGAATCTATCTATGCTACTCTCAAATGGATTTCTGTTATTGAGCTGTAAAGTCTCTTTTCTCTTTTTATGTTTTTGAAATTTCAATTAGCATTTCAAATTTCCAATTGAGGCTTTGTAATTTGCTGTTTTATCGTATAATTGCAGTGGATGTCAGTAGAGTTGAGAAATGACTTTAATGATGTTTGTGTGATTGGCTATGCAGCTTTATAAAGGCGAAAAGTGAAGTAGCTTTAGAAGATGTGACTCAACTTGTGGAATTTGGGCTTGAATTATTTAATGTATCGCAGGACAAGCTTTATGCGCAGGTCTTACACTCTTTCAAATGAAATGAATTCCCATTTTTATTTGTTTTTTAATTGAATAAATGGGTGGTTCTGTTCTTCATTTTTTTGTCTATCTTCTTTTGCCTTTTTGGTGGATTAGGTTCGATGGGGAAATGTTTTAGTCAGAATTCTTAACAAGTATAGAAAGAAATTGCATTCTTTGAGTGTTCAATGGCGGCCGTTGTATGATACTTTAATTCATACTCACTTCTCGCGGTGAGTTAATCAGTAAATAAATGATTATGTTGTTATATTATTGCATTTCCTATTCATATTGCAAGATCTTATGAATTGAGAGTGAACGATATCTTTTGAGCTTAGTGGAATTTCTACTTATTATGTCAATTATGTATTGGTGCTGAAAACTTGGTGCTCGTTACAGGAATACAGGTCCAGAAGGATGGCGGTTGAGACAGCGGCACTTTGAGACCGTTACTTCACTTGTTAGATCCTGCCGGAGATTCTTTCCAGCAGGTTCTGCCTTGGAAATATGGTCAGAATTTAGGTACGTGTTAAATTTTTTAATCAGATTTTTATTGACATTGTCATGACATTGGAATTCCCCCATAATCATTAAGATTTTAGTGGATAACTTGATGTCAGTCTATATCAAAGAGAATTTATCTGTTTTCATCCTCTTTCAATTTAAATTTGGGATATATTTAAAGTTTTTAATTTTTTTTTTTATTTTTTTGCCTTGTAAAAGGTGACTACTTAACTGACAAACATCACATATAATCAGAGGTTACTTGTTATGACTTCAACTGCTAAAACAATCAAAATTGTAAAATAAATGCTGATAGAGGTTGATTTATCATTTTAGGCTTTATATTTTGTAAATATTCGTCCTCCTCTTGCAATACAACGGTATCTGTAAGCCCCTCTGATACTGAAACAGCTGAGACAGAAAACCTGCTGATAGAACTCAAATTCTATGTTTTGCTATTTTAGGCTTATAAGCCTTGACCATCAGTTCTTAGCTGGTTCAAGACTGCATAACTTTTATGGTTTCTATATTCATATTTTCTATTATTTTTTTAAACAAATCTACAGTTCTTTATTGGAAAATCCATGGCACAATTCATCATTTGAAGGATCTGGGTTTGTGAGACTGTTTCTACCCACCAACTTGGAAAACAAGGACTTCTATACAGAGTAAGGATTTTCTTGTTTTGGTAACACTTATCTTAATGGTTTTTGGATGCATTATTAGAGCAACTTCATATCATATTATTGGCATGGCAGTGATTGGGTAAAAAAAAGTGTGGAACTGTGGGACTCGATACCAAATTGTCAATTTTGGAACAGCCAGTGGGCAGCTGTCTTAGCACGTGTTATAAAGAACTGCAGCTTTATCAACTGGGAATGCTTCCTACCAACACTTTTCACCAGATTCTTAAATATGTTTGAGGTGAGTTTGTGAATAACTGTGCCAAGATCACCACTTGTTTCTGGTTTTCAAGTTCCAATAGAGAAATTGAAAGTATTTTGTTTGGGGCATTGGTTGCTTGAGTAAATTGCATGTAGGATTTTATGCATTCCTCAATAGCTTTTCTTTTAGCTTCTAATTACAGTAGTGAAGGAAACTAGTTAAGCAAAGGTTTTTATTTTATTTTATTTTATTTTATTTTATTTTTATTTTGACCTCTATAATGAAGTGAATAGGAAAGGTTGTGCAATCTGCCTACCACCTACACACCTTTTAGAGACGGGTGGAAATATTTGAATTATTTATGATTTTTAAGTATTCAAATTATATGAATGTCTGTATTTGAGTGCAAAACAAGGTTGGTTTTGTAAGAGTTTAGTTGCTGGAAATTTCTAGCTGCAGAAAATTAAAGAAAGAGAAAACAGATGAAGAGAGATATTAATTATGGTAGAAAGATGAGAGGAATCCCACACTAGACAGATGTGCTTTATATTCACTAACAAAGTCATTTTTCATTAATCAAAAGCTTAAGAAAATAACTAAGCTACATGAGTATTTTTACTGTAGAAATAATTCCTTATTTCAACATGGATTATGACTCTTAAATTGGAAACACACTTATTATCATTAGATGGGAGGCGAATGTATCAGAACAATAATGAGGTTAGTATGCTAAAATTCCTAGATAGCAGTAGAACTCTGATTTGCGAAATAGTAAGGTCCTAAATCAAGAATAATAATATACATAAAACAATTCCTTGCTGATGGGATCTTCCCTTGATTGGACTGGAGAAAACAAGATCATGAGTTTTGTGATGCCAAAGGAAAAAATCCTTAACTTGGAGAGATTGAAAATGTGAACTAACAGATTTTACTTAACTTTGCCTAAATCAAAAGAAGGAATACCGAAATCAATTGATTGTGTTTACAGTTCATGAGTGTGATGAAATCTGCAACTACCACAAGTTGGAACCATCTTTTTTGAGTTTAACTTGTTCATGTTAATATTGTATTTATCTTTCTGTTGAAATCTCCATTATCATGTTTTCTATGGTCTCTCTTTATCCTTTTTGTATGCATAGTTTGGTAGGAATTTTTATGTTCATACTTACTTTCATTGTTTTCAATGTGACACGTCCTTTGGCAAGTGTAAAATGAAATATGATAGGAATTAGGGTTATAGTTTTAATACAGAAGAAAATAAGAGAGGGAGAAAGAGGAGAGAAAAAAGGAAGGTCGGGGGTTGGGGGAAGAATCATTATATTTTGAAAAATATAAATGAAAATTTAAGATAATCTTAGAATTTTCAAAAGCTTTGTGGGGATCTTGGTCTCCCTCAAAGCTCTCCTTGATTCCTCCCCCTGTACTACATTATCTTGACAATCAAAATTTTTGATTCTTCATTTTCTTCTAGCTCCTTGGAGGTTCTTGCTTACTTCTTCACAGATGGTACTTTAACAATTAGAGCCATGTTTGGATCTTATGATAATTCCTTTCGTCTCCTTTTCTTTCTCTTCGTCAATGGTTTCCTGAATAAAATTCACTACTTTAGAAGGAAACGGATTTTTGCTCAAAAAAAATTCTCTGATAAGTACTGAAAGCCCTAAAAATAGTATGTCTCTATGCTTCCTCAATAAAGAGAGCCTAAAATATGAAACTATAAAAAAAATTGAGACGAGAATAATATATATATATTTTTGTAATCAAAATTGATTGCAAATTTCTCTTTTGTGGCTCACAAGATGAAGTTTTTAGTAGTATGTATAGTGGTGGGGGGAATGGGAAGAGGAATATAAAGAGATAAACTTTCCTTTTTAAATTTTTTTCTTATTCCACCTCCTCCCTGTAAAGGTTAGAATGATACCTAAGAATGGAACTGATAATAAACATTTACTCATGCCTGCTTAAGGCTAGGAATCTGCAGTCAAGATTGCTGTTTGAGGCCTTGAGACGACTCAGTTTCATTGTCAACATGTGTCAGAATCATGTCAAATTCCTTCTTCTGGAGTAGATAAAATATCATCAAAAGAAGGGAATGGGAACTGTTGAAAAAACAACGGTTATAACTTTTTACTTGCTGCTACTTCATTTAGATATTGGAAGTGTGGTTGCTAAGAAGGATGTTTCTAATGTGCAATAATACGATTCTACGATTGTAAATATGATTTCTGATGATTGATTCTTTTCTTTTACTTGCTGATAAAATTTTCCTTCTTTTTTGTTTTGCTCTTTTGATTTTTGTTTGCGTCCACTCATACTCTAATCACTATTTGGATTTTCCCATGTTAGATTTTAATGCTTAAATCTGGCAATCACAGGTTCCTGTGGCAAATGGAAGTGGATCATATCCCTTTTCTGTTGACGTTCCCAGAAATACAAGATTTTTATTCTCCAATAAAACAGCCACCCCTTCAAAGGCTATTGCAAAATCGATTGTAAGATTGATATACAGCCTGCTTTTGATAGAATTCGTCAATTGATAACTTATCATTCCTTCCTAGATTGTGATGTGGTATCTAATTGCAACTGCAGGTGTATCTACTAAAACATGGTAGTACGGCACAGAAGCATTTTGAGAAATTGGTCGACCTCTTAGAACAGTTTGTTTACTGACATTATTTCTAGTAATCTAATTATTGTTTCTGAAGCATGTGATTATTTATAAAATCTGATTCTCAATGCTTAACTGCCTTCATTGTTCCAGATATTACCATCCCTCAAATGGTGGTCGCTGGACTTATTCACTGGAGAGATTTTTGCTTTATTTGGTAATGACATTCCAGAAGCGCTTACAGTATGAGCAACAGTAAGAATATACCATCATTGCTGACATATAGGTTTCATATTTGGTTTAACATGTTTTAAACTAGTTGTATTCATATGCTTGTTTTACAGGAGTATAGATGATGACGGACAAGCTGAACTGTTTCTAGGAAAGTCAGAAAGGACTTCTTTTGTTAATTTGCTGCTAAAGCTAATTGATCGTGGGCAATATAGCAAGAATGAACATCTTTCTGAGACAGTTGCTGCAGCAACTTCTATTTTGTCATATGTGGAGCCCTCTTTGGTTCTTCCATTTTTAGCATCTCGGTTTCAGCTGGCCTTGGAGACGGTTAGTAGTGGCTCATAGGTTTCTTAGGGCTAGAAACACTTGAAACGTTAACATTAGTTGTTTAACTTGCAAAAGATCAGTTATTCATTGATTGAAGTATGTTTAATTCATTGGATGAGAGCTTACCTTGATTTCTTGTTTACTTCTTGCACCACATTAACTTCTCTGTTTCCCACTTTTACATCTAGTCAGATGACTGCCACCCACCAGCTGAAAACAGCTGTCATGTCTGTAGCATTTGCGGGACGTTCACTGTTCCTCACATCCCTATCAACTTCAGTAAAAATGGTTGATCCTGGTGGTGGTGATAATGCATTCCTTGATCTTCTGACGATTTCACTATCCAATGCATTACTGGGTATGGACGCCAATGATCCTCCCAAAACTTTGGCTACCTTGCAATTAATTGGTTCCATATTCTCCAATGTAAGTTATAAACTTAAAGACCATGCTAGGTTAATGTTTCATAGGTTAATAATTTGTGAACAAAGCGTTATGGAAATCTACCTATAATTGCAGATTGCTACTTTGGATGATGAAAAGAATGAACTGTCATTCATGCCAATGAACCGCTTTTCTGAATGGCTAGATGAATTCTTATGTCGCCTATTTTCATTACTTCAACATTTGGAGCCCAGTACTGTTCTGTAAGTAGTGACATGAATTCTGCATTTGTTTTTAATTTCCTACTTTCATACATCTAGAAATGCTGATTTATATTCTTATTGGTTTCTAACATTGACCTTGAGATCAGAATAACTGTACATTCATTTGATAGGAATGAAGGCCTACATTCATCGGCAACGTCTGGGACCTTTCTGGTTGAAGATGGTCCTTACTATTATTGCATGCTTGAAATCTTGCTTGGGAGGCTTTCGAGATCACTATACAATCAGGTTTCATTTATCTTCAATTTGAAATTTTGGCAGATTCCCTCTTATTTTGTTGAAGACATGATTTTATAAACATTTATTTTACAACAGGCTTTGAAGAAAATTTCAAAGTTTGTCAGAACAAATATTCTACCTGGAGCAGTTGCTGAGGTTGGACTGCTTTGTTGTGCATGTGTTCATTCAAATCCAGATGAGGCAGTTGGTTCTCTTGTTGAGCCAATTTTATCATCTGTTATATCATCTTTGGAAGGAACCCCTGTTACAGGTTTTGGAGGAAGAGGAATTCCTGATGCCTCTGTTTCAACCAAGGTGTTTCAGATTTTTAATGGTTTTCATTATTCACTTTTATTTGCACCAAGTTTCTCGATGTGAAAGTTGATTGAATATTTCACAGGCCAAACCGACACTCTCTCCGGCTCTTGAAACAGCAATTGATTATCAATTGAAAATATTATCAGTTGCCATCAGCTATGGAGGGCCTGCACTTCTTCGTTATAAGGAACAATTCAAAGAAGCTATTGTGTCTGCTTTTGAATCTCCCTCATGGAAGGTTTCCTTTTGGCACTAGCTGATTTGTTACCTGCATAAATTGAAAAATCACTTGAACAGCATATTTGGAGTGGGATGCTAATTATGTATGTTGCTGAAAATATTATGGTCTATATTATTTTATGTGCTGAGAAATATGTTATATATGACAGGTTAATGGAGCTGGTGATCATCTTCTTCGGTCCCTCCTTGGAAGTGTGGTTCTCTATTATCCAATTGATCAGTACAAGTAATCTTGGATCTTCTTACTTGTAAAAGTATTTGCATTGAATTCTTTTACTTTTTTCGTCCAATGTTCAGTAATTAAAATGAAGCAAATTTTGGTTTCTTAGGTGCATTTTGCGCCACCCTGCTGCTGCAGCATTAGAAGAATGGATCAGCACAAAGGATTATAACACTGATGAAAAATTGATGGCCCCCAAGTGGCATGTTCCAAATAACGAAGAGATTCAATTTGCAAGTGAACTTTTGAACCTTCATTTTCAATCAGCTTTAGATGATCTTCTGAGAATATGCCAAAACAAAATCCACTCTGATCCAGGTAAAGCTGATACGTTCTTCTTATGCTTTTTTATGGACATTGGTGCAGTGTTTATTTTGAAGAGCTCAGTTTCTCGCTGAGTTATAGAAAGTAGCGATGCTTATGACAATTAGTTTTATCTCTATAGTGATGTCCCTTTATCCTGATTTTATTTTGTCCAGCAATCAAAATATTTTTCTGATGTGAGACCCTGCTATGAATATCAAGTACACTATAATCATGGACAATCACTTTCCTAGTTGATAAACAGTTGTGTCTCAAGGATCATATTTACTCTTTCTCACGTAGAATTACATTACAATATCTTGCAATTCATATGCAATTGCTTACTTGCTTTATAATATTTATCTTTTTCTAATTACATGCAACTTGTTAGCAGGGACTGAAAAAGAGCACTTGAAAGTGACTCTTTTGCGTATTGATTCTTCATTGCAAGGTGTTTTATCTTGCTTACCTGATTTCAGCCCATCCTCCAGGAATGGGATTGTCGAAAATCAAAGTCATGCTCCTTTCTTGATAGCTGGGGCAACAGGTTCAACTGTTGGCAGCGTGGAGCTCCGTGAAAAAGCTGCTGAAATTATTCACACAGCTTGCAAGTAATATTTCAATTTTGGCAATCTTTTATTTCATTTTCCTAATTTCAACGGATCTCATTTTATAAAATATCAAATTTATAAATTGGTAGGTACCTGTTAGAGGAAAAATCAGATGATAGCATCTTGTTGATACTGATTGTCCGTATAATGGATGCTTTGGGGAACTATGGTAACGGCACTGCATCTGGATAAATTGAATTCTCTGCCCTCTTTGTTGGTGTGCCTTAGAGTAGCATTTCCTTTCAGCCTAGTTTTGACATCCCCTTTTCAAACAGGAAGTTTGGAGTATGATGAGTGGTCAAATCACAGGCAGGCTTGGAAGTTGGAATCTGCTGCCATTATAGAGCCTCCAATAAATTTCATCGTGTCATCTCATTCTCAAGGAAAGAAAAGGTTAGAAGAGTCTTGCCATTAGGTTTTCCCTGTATAATTATTTGTATCATGCATTAAATTCGTAGCGTTTAAACATTGGATTTTTCAGGCCTAGGTGGGCTCTTATTGACAAGGCGTACATGCATAGTACATGGAGATCCTCGCAGTCATCCTATCATCTATTTCGTACAAGTGGGAATTTTTATCCTTCAGACAATGCAATTCTTTTAATGGAAGATCTATTGAAACTCGCTTTGCATAGCTATGAAACTGTTCGTGCGTAAGTTATCCATTGTTATGTAATCCTTATTTGATTAAAGCGGTCTACCTCATTCTCTCTCTCCCATCTTCTCCCTCTACTCTATTGGAGGGATAGACTTGCATGTGACTTTATTCAATTTATTTAACTTGTTTACCATGCCATTACTTATCTATTTTGCAGAAAGAAATTTGTATTTGGCATTTTCTTAATTTTCATATGTATATTCTGTGACTTATGGCCTTTCTACATTTTTATAATCAGTGTCGTGTTGAATCCTAACACCCCCCTCCTCTCTCTCTCTTTTTGGCTCAATTTTATGTGCTATGTCTAGTTCATATTACCTTTCAAATCATGAGTGCTTATAATGTTTGATATACACTGCTGACTTGGTGTCCAGGCTTGCTGGAAAGTCACTGCTGAAGATGATTAAGAGATGGCCCTCTATCTCTACGATTTCAAAATTTGTTCTCTCTCTTACTGAAAACTTACGGAACCCCAACTCACCAGAGTATGCAGTCTTAGGTTCTTGTGCAGTCCTTTCTACTCAGACAGTTCTCAAGCATTTGACAGCGGTAATCATTCACTAGTACTTGCTTGAAAGAAATATATGAAAATAAATATTTGTTCCTGATCCATCAGCTTTCATTGCAGGATCCAAAATCACTAACTTCATTTCTTCTTGGTATTCTTTCAAGGTGACTCTAGGAACAAGGATAGCATTGCCTTTAAGATAGCCTGTTTATTAATTGTTATAAGTCATACAAACGCTTACTTCTTGTTTTCCTCAAACTGTAGCTCACATCATGAATCACTGAAGGCCCAGAAAGCAATTAATGATGTAAGAATTCCCGTATCTATTGATTTAAATGTTGTATTTCTGAATTTCTCGTTCTCTGATAGTTTTTGAGAGTCAACAGCTTTTTGTCAAGTACAACATCCACTTCTCTGGAGTATCTAGGGCAATTTTCAGGGCATCAGATATTCACTTGGATGGACCAGATTTTTCAGATTTGGTTTCTCAGATTGAATCTATGAGTTTTGATTCTACTGGCTTGCATTGGCGGTATATATCTAAACGCTTGTCTACTTACGTTTTTGTAGATTTTTAGCTTGTTCAAGTTTCTTAACTTTATAATGAACTGTTCTGGTGTGTTGGCGATGTTCATGAATTATTGGGCCTATAGGTGGTTAAAGTTTACCTTTGATGTGCAAATGAATATTTTTGACCGGGAATTCATATATGTGAAAAATTATTAATCACCCATGCTTGACTTTCAAAATTTTATTCACCAAACCTTCAAAATCAGCTTCTTTTTCTTTTTCCAGTTTTGATCTGGTTGTTCGTTTATATGTACACTATCGAGCTTCATTATTTTAGATATATTATTTTTCCTTGGATGTTAGCTGAATTTTGTTCCTTTTTCTGTGTTCAGGTATAATCTGATGGCTAATAGGGTTTTGCTTTTGTTGGCTATGACATCTAGAAATGATCCCAACTTCTCTTCAAAAGTACTGAGTGAAACTGCTGGTTAGCAAATTCTCCTCTGGGCTTATGGATTGCCTCTTTGCTTCTTGGTAGCATTATTCCCATTTATTAAATGGCACTCGCTTCTCAACATCTGCTTGTTCCTGTCTTTCCAGGACACTTCCTAAAAAATTTAAAAAGTCAACTTCCTCAGACAAGAATACTTGCAATCTCAGCTTTGAATACGCTACTAAAAGAATCGCCTTATAAATTATCAGAAAAGAGTCAGCCAGCATCTTCTGGAGAGTTGCACACAAATACCAAGTCATCTCTTGAAGGGGCATTAAGTGAAATTTTTCAGGAAGACGGATTTTTTAGCGAGACTTTGAATTCTCTTTCCCATGTTCATATAATCACTGATACCGATGGAACATCTAGAGGGAATCATGGACAATCTTCATTTCAAAGCTTGGCAGATAAATCAATTACCCGTTTTTATTTCGACTTTTCAGCTTCATGGCCACGTACCCCCAGTTGGATTTCTTTACTTGGAAATAATACTTTTTACTCAAACTTTGCACGAATTTTTAAGCGGCTAATACAAGAATGTGGCATGCCTGTTTTACTAGCACTTAAAAGTACATTGAATGAGTTTGCAAATGCTAAGGAAAGGTCAAAGCAGTGCGTTGCTGCTGAAGCTTTAGCTGGAGTGCTGCATTCTGATGTAAATGGCCTTTTAGAAGCGTGGGAAACTTGGATGGTGGTTCAATTGCAGGGTATTGTTCTTTCTCAATCAGTGGAATCCACACCTGAGTGGGCGGCTTGCATACGCTATGCAGTTACTGGGAAAGGAAAATATGGTACCAGAGTTCCTCTTCTGAGGCAACAAATTTTAGACTGTTTGATGACACCTTTACCTCCAGCTGTGACTACTACCATTGTTGCAAAGCGCTACACTTTTCTTTCAGCTGCCCTCATAGAAATATCCCCACAAAAAATGCTGTTATCTGAGATAGAGCTCCATAGTAAACTTCTTAATGAGTTGTTAGCTAATATGTGTCATTCATCAGCCCAAGTAAGCAAGCTATTTTTTTATGTTGTCAATTTTTACTTACTAATTTTTGTGACTGCTAAGAAGTACATGAGAAAATTTAAGGAATACAAAAAATGGAAACAGAAGAGGATAAGATCATTCTTTGCAGAATATTTAACGAAAGATCAATTGTGATTATATTTATCGTCTTTTCCAATGAAAGTTGGAGTTGTTTTTATGGTAATGGTTTCTGGTGATAATTTTGCATGAGACAGGTAAGGGAAGCTATCGGTGTTACTCTCTCTATTTTGTGCTCCAATGTTCGCCTCCATTCATCATTTGCTCATAATCATTCAAGTGAAGGAGCAAACGTTGACGTTGATAACCAACTGAAAGAGGAAAATTGGGTTCTGGTTCTGACAGAACGAGCTTCTGATATGGTCACAAATATACAAAAAACTAGCCCTTTGGACAATTTGGAGATACCAACACGGACAGTTCCTCAAAATGGGTCCTTGAATGCGGATGCACAGGATGATGTTAAGTGGATGGAAACGGTATTCATATTTAGAACTAAAACAATTTCTTGTCTAACCCTTGGATTATTAGTGTAACTGATTTTTTTTTTTTTGGTATTATAACTGATCGTTTTTTTTTTTTTAACCATTTGGTGTAGCGATTTCATTTTATCATTTCAACATTGAAATCTGGAAGATCATCTTACTTGCTGGATGTTATTGTGGGATTTCTCTATCCTATAATTTCCTTGCAGGTATAAGAAGTGCACTTTTCTTTTAGCATGATGTGACTTGTTTACACCAGCTTACAAATTAATTCTGACATTTATTGCTCTAGTTTTCTTTTTGACACCACTCAACTTAATGTTACTATTCCTTTTCTGTGATGACTGTTGTAATACAAATCATGAATTTGCAAATTTGCAAGTTGAAACTTTTGTATTCCTCATATATAGATACCCAAATATTTTCTCTTTTGGATGCTGATGGCATAATACTCCTCACATTTAGTTCTTTGATTCTATGTGCCAAGTTGATTGTGTGCTTTTGGAGAGTGTTGTAATTGTTGGAAGCATTTTCATAAAGAAGTAATATCTGATGACTATTATTGACTTGTTGAAGGAAACATCAAATAAAGATTTGTCAACCCTGGCCAAGGCTGCTTTTGAATTGTTGAAGTGGAGGATTTTCTGGGAGCCTCATCTCCAGAGGGTTGTTTCAGTTATTCTTTCATCAGCCAATGATCCCAACTGGCGGACCAGATCAGCTACTCTGACGTATCTACGTACTTTTATGTATAGGTATAATACTTTTTGAAAGGGTTCTCTTATGCATCAGATTTTTTTTAACTGCGCAAGGTTACATCTAGTACTTTTCTAATTTAACTTTTCTTTTGTTAGCTAATATTTAATGCACTGTATTAGGAATTAAAAGTTCTCTCAAATAAAATAAATTCTTTTTTCATGTTACATAGCATCTTGAATATGTTGTCTGTTGCATAACATCTTGCTCCCATTATCAACCCTTACTTTTGTTTTCCATCCATGATGGGGCATAGGCTTGTTAACTATTTTGTGGAAATCTGCTAGAGTCTGTGTGAAACGGGTCTTTCTTATTATGTGGATTCTAAGGAAGTTGTGCTCTTGTATATAACAGGCACACTTTTATTCTCTCAAGGGCGGATAAACAACAAATTTGGAGCACTGTGGAGAATCTACTGAGAGACAATCAAGTAGAGGCAAGTTCCTGACTGGATCTTGAATTAAATGATAATGTAGGTTCACGGATGTAAATGTTGATGGAGGATAAGTCTTGTCTTTGTCAATAGTTGAAAATAAATTTTCACCTCCATTACTTGTATTTTTGATAAGAAGCTCAAGGCTCTTGAAACAAAATACAACTAGCTGGACGTCCTGAGTGACCTGATTCCTTTGTCCATTGAATTCTCAACCTAATTGGAATTTGGTGGATCTCTATGATGGAAGAGTCCTTGATCTAGAGTTAGAGATTATTTATCTTTTAGTTATTTCCTCTTCCAATTTAAATAGCTTATATTTTACTCAGGTAAGAGAGCATGCTGCTGCAGTTCTAGCAGGTCTAATGAATGGTGGGGATGAAGACCTTGCTAGAGACTTCCGAGATAGAGCTTTCATAGAGGCAAATAACATCCAAAGGAAAAGAAAGCAGAGGTTTGTGGTCCGTCTAATGTTGTTAACGTATTGAATTTACCTTCTCATTAAGGATTGAATTTACCTTTTCATTAAGGATGCAACAGCATGAACAGATTCATGTCATGCATGAATGTAGAGTGTGCATTTCACAAAAAAGTTTCTTTTAGAGTTCCTTTCATTCGATGGAAATCTACAATATCTTCCTTTTGCAATTCTCATCTCTGTGATGGTTTTGCATAAAAGCTGCATTTTTTTTCCGTTGTTTGCACATTTCCATGTGCTTTTAGGAATTGCGTTGTAATTCTTAATAAAGAATATCATGTGCAATGTTGAGATGACAAATTTTATATATGAATGCAGGAATCTAAAATCTGGTCAATCTATAGCATCTATTCATGGTGCTGTGCTTGCTTTGGCTGCTTCTGTCTTATCTGTCCCATATGATATTCCCAGGTATGTCCATGTTGATAATAGGCGATTGATTGTATCATGTATTGGAATGATGCTATAATGTGTTAGTGTTTATCTGAACTTGCGATTTTGCATAATTGATGGCAAAATATTTATGGTCATGTTCCCTCATTAAAGTTTGTGAGTAGCAGCAGTTTTGACCATTTTAACATTATCTAATGAACCAACTTGCTCTATTAAAGTATCATTTTGAAATAATGATACTATTGGGGCTGGCAGTTAAATTTATATTGATTATAAGCCAAATCTGCTTTGTTAATTTCCTTCAAGCCCAAAGTTTAAATTATGAGGATGTCACTTTGATCATTTGCTTGACAAGACTTGGAGAAAATAAGACAAGGTATTGGCCAAGAAACAGTGGAAAAAATGGTTTAACAACATTAGCCTGAACCTGAGATTGAATGAAATGTGGGAATCTATAAACATGATATCAACTAGTTTGGGACTGCTACCTCGTTCATTTTATTTTGGCACTTTTTGACTTTATTTTTTTAATAGATGACACTTGTAGAAATCAAGGTAATATTAATTATATTATTCTAATTTTATCCTTATCTAGATATCTACAACAAACTTTACCCTTAGTAAATTATCCTTAGTTTTTCTAGAATTGAGGTGGTTCAATCATTTTTTTTTAATTCCCATAAAAAGTCAAAAAGTGTCAAAATTAATGGAGTGGAGATAGTATTACTTAGTTGAGTTGAATTTTTTTTGACAAGAGTTATGGAACTATACCTAGTAGTTATTGTATGGAATCATACTTCTTGTGGCAATATCATTCTCAAGTTGCAATTTCATCTGATTATTTTTATCTTTTTCATTTTTTTTGGGTGAGGTCTGTCAATCAAGCTTTCATTTATCACTTTATTACTTTTTTAGCAGGCAGTATAATTCTGCAAATTGAGTTATATTGTAACTTAAATAAGGGATCATTTGTATGGTTTCCCACAATGACTTCTAAGTTTTGCAATATTTCTGGATTTGATCGATTTTTTTTTTTTTTTTTTTCAAATGGTGTGAATTGGTCCTCCTATGCAGTCTTATCGAAAGATTTTTTGAGTTCAGCCAAAATAAGCCATTAAGCATTAGATCCTATTCGTGTTTTGGTTGGGGGAGGGCAGGAAGAGGTGTTTTGGTTGTCAATCTTTTGTTGATAATATGTCGTAAATTTTTATTTTCTGTTGCTAAAATTTCAGCCTCTTTTTTCCTTTCTTTTTATTTTTGGCAAAAATTTTGCCTTTTTCTAATAATTTTCAACACTACCATGGAAAAATGCAAATTACCACAAAGCAAGTTGGGGGATTACATGCTACGTGATTTCGAAGTAATGTGTTTACAGTGTTGCATGGAAACATAAAAATGGGTTGCATCTTCAGCAGCCAAATTGCCCTTATAAAATAGATTTGAATTTTGTATTTACTGATTCTTCCTTTCTTTCACTCGCATACACAAACACATACACAAACACACTGATTTGCCATTTGTTGTTTTACTGGTTAATGCATATCCTTCTTTCCATAGTAGTTCTAACCATCTTTCAAATTGAATTTTTGTTGTAAATGTCCAATTTTTAGCTCTTGATTGGATGCTGAAATGATGTTCAGTATGTGAACTTTGCTTCTTGTCTTTTATAGGGATGTCTTGACTGAAATAATCAAGAGCTCTGATTTTTTAATAGATTATTAAATGATACCGTTTTCTTGATACACAACACAATTTTGATCATTTCATTTCAGGTGGTTGCCTGAGCATGTTACTTTACTGGCTCGTTTTGGTGGAGAACCATTGCCTGTGAAATCAACAGTTACAAAGGCAGTTGCTGAGTTCCGCCGGACTCATGCAGATATGTGGAATGTCCAGAAAGATTCATTTACTGAAGAGCAACTTGAGGTAGCTTCAAGCATCTCTTCAGACTCTTGATTATATTGGAAATTGGCATAACATTATCTCATGTATAAACTTTTCTTATTGAAACTTGCAGGTTTTGGCTGATACGTCATCTTCATCATCATATTTTGCTTGATATGTGTTACTTTTCTAGCAAGGGAAAATAATCATAGGAACTCAATGATTGGAAGAACTGCAAACTTTACAGTTGGAGGATTAGCAGGAATTAGTGTAATTCTTGATAGATATTGTATAAGAAATTGAGTTTTATTTACATTTGCTTCATTTGTCCAGCATGAGAGAGTTTATTATTACTCTTAAGTAGGGTGCTTTGTCTTTGCCTTTGACGTCATGTAAACTTAAACTATAGGATTCATCAAATCATCAGATGGTAAATCCCATAAAACGCATTCTGTATTAAATATGCTCGAGCCATTCCTAATCTCTTTTCCACCTTCAGATTCCTCTCCATTTTCATCCTCTAGTTTTTCATGCAGCCGGCCTTGTTGATCACCTGCTGTACATGTACTTCCAGTGCACATACTCTGGCTCCATGGCGACACAGCCCCTTCGCCAAAAGAAGACGAGCCACATTGAAATCCAGTGACTGATGCAGGGAAACTGCTGCATTCTCCAGCAAAATTTGCAGAGTTAGCGACGTTAAATTCCCAAGGTTTGTTTGGAGGTAGCATTCCAGGTTCTTGCATAGCTCTGGATAAACTAAGTTTAATTTTCTCAATGGTTTCATCGTTCTCATCATTTTTACTAACAATGTAAGGTGATGATGTGTTCCCTTGTGCTCCTGCACTAGTGTTAGGGTTTGGCTGTTGCAGCTGGAAGTCGATACGCTTTTTAGTGAGAAGATGCAACATTTCATCCTTAAAGCAGCCGAGAGCTGCTTCCGCAAGGTGAGTCACCTGCGGCGGTGCTAGCGTGGTGGCAATCTCAGCCATGAGATGAGAGAAGGGTTTGTGGGTGACAGGATCGATCCCCATACCTGAAAGCTTCTTTTTCAGTTTAGTGTTCCAATGATTCTTAACGTCATTATCAGTGCGGCCAGGAAGTTGATTAGCTATTAATGACCATCTACAATGCCATTTAGAAATAGTCAAAATAACAAAAACTAACAAGTAACAAGAAATAGACATTGTTATGTAATACCTGTTGCCAAAAACAGAGTGAAGCTTGACAATGGTGTGTTCTTCGGCATCGGAGAACTGGCCATGTTTGAGGTCGGGACGAAGATAATTAGTCCATCGCAGCCTGCAACTTTTCCCGCATCTTTGGAGACCTTAAATAAAACGAACAGAAACCAAAAAAAAAAAAAAAAAAGATAATTAAAGTCCATCGCAGCTGCAAACTTTTCCCGCATCTTTTTTGGAGACCTTAAATAAAACGAACAGAAAACCAAAAAAAAAAGTGCAGCCAAAAAAAAAAAAAAAACACTTGAATAATTCGTTTAGGTTTCATTTAGCATTAAGTTTAGAGCTACTATTTAAAACTGTATTTTGAGACACTGCCAAGGGAGACACGGATCCTAAAACCAGGGTGTTTAAAGAAAAACATTACAAAGGCAAACACAAACCAGCATTCTTGGGAATGAGCCGCCAGTTGCGGGTGCCATGTTGGGCTATGTAGGAAGAGAGTTTGTTGTCTTCTTCAGGTGTCCATTGCCCTCTTTTTACATTATCCTTCTCACAACATGGAATTCTTCCCATTTTTATGTCTCTTTCTATTTTCTTTTTGAAAAAAAAAAAATAATGTGGATAATTAAATAAGAGAAGAAGTAAAAAGAGAATTTCTCTACTGCCTCCCTTTTTTTTTTCTTTTTTCTTTTTTTTAAGGGAGCTTAGGCTTAATTAGTAGCTTTGAATTAAAGAAAACAAGTGGAAGTGAGAAAAGAAATGGTTAGTGTTAAGTTCTTATATAAGGAATTGGGTTTGCTAATTTGCATGGATTGAGGTTATGTGAGAGAGAAGAGAGGAATTCGGCATGAAAGGTGCATGATTTTATTAAAGAATTCAACGCTATTGAGCGTGTGAGCTGTGCCGGTAGCTCACCCACAAGACACCCGGTCAACCTTCTCTCTTTCTCTCTCTATCTCTTTTGTTGACTGATAGGAGCTTTAGGGTTTCTACTATCTATTCACTTCTTGTTGGGTGGCTTTTTGCTTTGCTCACACAAACCTTACAAGCAAAGAGGACGTTATTGAGGTTGTTGGTTATTCCACGTGCGGGTCATATGATATGATTTCCATTCATGTTTCTATAACTAACTGTACCTGTTAACCGTACTATTACTACTACTACATCATACACTGTTGTGTCTAGAGTTTATAGAATATGTACCGGCAGAATACATATTTTGTTACTTTAACTTTTACGCATTCTAACTTTTATTTCAACTCGTTAAATATTGTAATTTATAAAATTAAATTTATTAAATATTTAAATTTATAAAAATATTTTATTAAGAATTTCAAATTTTAAAATTATATTAATTAAATATCTATTTAATCATTAAAAAATTTAAAAGTTATTGTTATAAAAGTTATACTACTAATTATACATTAAACCAATATTTGATATATAAAAGTAAAAAATCTTAAAAATTATTATTATTAGTGTGAAAATATATGTATTGTTTCAAAATTTGCAAGTTCATATACACGATATCATTTACAAAATTTAGAGTGTTGTAATATTAAAATTACAAAGTTAACGAGTAAATTTATATATTTCCCGAATATGTATCTACGGTCCAATGTTTAATTAGTGGTGCACTAATGCTAGTTTTCAGATTTTAAATTTGTGCAGCTCATTGCCTAAGATTGGGTTGCTATTGGTTGAGTCCATACTATAATATATGAAAACATCCCAGTTTCTCTTAAATAAAAGCCAAATGTTAGTTTCTCAAGTTGTCAAATATAAGAAGAGTAATTATTCAGGATAATAATTGTAAGAAGATTAATTGTTTTATATTTTTTAATAAAATATAACTTTTTCTTTTTGTATATATTTAAAGAAAAAACTGTTAACGGTCAATTTCATTAGAATCCCTTAACATTCAATTTCTCCAGAATCCCTTCACATTCAAAATTCTAACATGAGCAGTTATCACATTTAACATCCGATATTCCAAAACTTCCATTTAATGTTATCGTCCCTTCCATTTGATGTTATAGGGATTTTGCATATGTGGAGAGATAACATAGAGGATAACGATGACGGCGAAGGAAGTTGGAGTACCATTCCTTATAAAGAAATGTAAATTACAATCAAATTAAAAATAAAAATATGAATAAATTAAGAAATATAATTATAAAATATTAAATGCATTAAGAAAATATTTTATTATAGTACATATTTCCAGCTATATTTATTTTTTCGTCAATGATATTAATTTTTTCTAACAAATTTAATTTGAAGTATTTATATCTAATTTGTAATAATTATATATTATCTAGAAATAGAATTTGTTCTATTTATAACTAAACGGAGGTACGCGCCGATTGTTTTGAAAGTTTTTAATTTATAAATACATTAAACGATCCTCCATGCTTCACACGGTTGTTTAATAATTATATTTTTCATTTTAAATGTAAGATATATATATTGAGTAAATTATAAAAATTTATTTTTTAGAGAAAAAGTGACTGAAATTACTATTAGATATAAAGTCTTATAGGTATTTAAAATAATATAAATACTTAATTTATTTTTTTATAGAGATTTATCTAATTGGAAGTATATAATTAAAAAACCTATTAAAACATAATAGTTAATTCATCATTGCATTAAAACATATTTAAATCCTTTGAAATTACAAACACTTAAATCCTTGCAAAAATAAATAAAATAAAATTAAGCTAAGCAAAATATAAAATGAAAAAACAAAACCAAGTAAGCGACTCAAACAAAGTAATAAAATACTAGCAATAAACTGAAGAAGTTAAAATAAAGAATTAAGTTAAACTTTCAACGATAGATAGAAAGTTAAAAATAAAAAAAAATAGAAAAATAGAATATGGAACAAAAGAGAATCTTGAACTTTCTGTTTATATATAACGATATATAAATATTTGAATTCTCAATCAACAAAAAGAATAAAAAATAAAAGTTAAAACCACTAATTTCACATCAACCCAATTCTTTGAATTTTAAATCAAAATAAGAAAAACCACATAGATAACATTTTTCATGATAAATTCAACAGCATTTTTCATGATAAATTTGATATAGTCATACAAACAATAAATATATAGTCATACAAACAATAAATTGAACTTAAAGTTATTAAATATTATCGACTTGAAAATATTCAACTTATTATAAGAAGAAAAACTAATTTGTATCTTTATAATTTACTAAAAAACTGAAAATCACAATCAAACAAATCAAAAGAGAGAAAAAAAAAGAAGAATACTCATCATCTTATCTTATTATTTTTAAACTATATGGGACTATTTTTGAACTTTAATAGGTTACTTATCATGAAAAGAAAATTAAAATTTGTACCTATAATTTACTCAAAAAAATTAAAAATCATTACCAAACAAATAAAAAATAATGTGTATTTTTGAAACACGTGGTTTTTTTTTTTTAATATTTTTCAAATTATCAAATTTTTAAACATACTATGTTTGAAGTTTAGACTACATAAAAATAAAAATTTCATATTTGTAAATTATGAAAATTTAAAGATTTAGACATTGTATTGTTTTTCTATCACATATTTTATTTCTAACAAAAAAACAAGTTGCATATTTGATTTGAATCTAAAAACTAATAAAAGTCTTATATGTGTGCGTGTATTATGAAAATTTAAAAAATATAATTGAAATATTTAAATTTTTTATATTGTCATAAATAAATGAATTTCAAACTCATAAAAATGAAAAAATAATTAATTATTGAAAAATAAATGATGGGAGAAAAAAATGGATAAAAAAAGTGAAATGCTCAAAAAATTCACAAAAAAAGATAAATCACAATACTAAATATCAGGAGTTTCACTTTTGAAGAAAGTGCCGCATCAGCATATAAAAACAATGTTTCTCTTTATATATATATATATATATATATAATCATATTAAAGATTTAATTTTTCCCATGAGCTGTTTTATTGTTTTACATAATATTTTATAAATTGTATTTAATAATATTATTAAAAGATTTATTTTTTCCACAGGTTATTATATCAAATTATAGTGTTATTGAAATTACAATATCTTAAATTTACATTAAATAATTATACAATTCAATTAATCATGTCTACAGTTAAAGCTTATACTTTAAAAAAAAAATCCTAGAATAATAGAGGATTTTTAGACAGCAACTCTTGTGCTTATTAGTATATTTTTTTTAAAAGAAAAAAATTGGGTCTTATTAGTTTTTTTAAAATTATAAATTTATGAATTTATAAATATATTATATAAAATACAAATTCAAATTCCCAATATCTGAATATGAAACTTAAAAAATTATTTTATAAAATTAATAATAATCAACAATTCAAATATATAATTTTAAAATTTTAAAATAATAATAAAATCAATTCAAAAAATAATGCAAACTTTTAATTCCTAATTTTTTAAAAAGATAATTCATGTACAAAACACAAACGCAAAAGAAAACTTCATGTGTTTTATTAATCTCATATATTAGAACTTAGGTTGCACAGATGCAAGACACGAGATATGAAAACATACAGAATACGATAATTAAAAAAAAAAAGAATATCCACACGCTTAATATGCAGCCACTCTAAGTACGTATAGTAAATTAATATTTTAAATAAATAAACAATCATTTATAATAAATTATAAATATAAAATAAAAAAAGATTTAATTTCTTATTTCAATATAATCAATATAATTATTTAAATTCTCAAAATTATTATCATTATTGAAAATAATAGTGTGTGTGCATTTTTTGATACAAATCATACCATGCATGGCTTTTGCTATTGTATATCTTGGTGAAAGGCTTCGCAGGATACCTAAAAAAATACTTCTTAGCATTGCAACTTTTTCAGTATATCTCAATGAGATATAATTTTGTATTGCGTTTTACGATCATTTTAGTATACAATTTTTAGGGGTGTCAAAATGGGTCAAGAAACGTGAACACGATTCACCTAGCACTCGAAATAAATGGGTTAGGGTTGATGTTAAATGAGTTTATATCATAAACGGGTCACCCATTTATGACACGAATGTACGTGTTATGTCAGGGGGTTGACACGCGGTTTAGGCGAGTAACCCGTTTATTTAAAGGTAGACATAAATACTCCAATTAAAATCCTATTTAAACTTATTATTGTATTAATTTTTTTTATTTTAGTTGTGAATTTATAAAAATTTATGCATTTATGTATAAAAATTAATTTTTAAATATAATTTGAGTTAAATATGTTAAAATTTAAAAATATCATGAGCATTTTAAGTGAGTGTATATAGGTCAACATGACCCATTTAAGCGGGGTATAAGGGTCGTATATGGGTCAACACAGTCTATTTAACCTGTTTATAATATTAGGTGAATTACACATGTAATGTTTGTGTCACCTGTCTAATTTTTGTGTCGTGTTCGTATTGATAAATTTGACACAATTATTAAATGGATTGTGTTTGTGTTGACCTTAATGAATTGTATCGCGTATTAGGCGAATCCATGTCGAACCTAGCATGCCAACCCATTTTGACACTCCTAACAATTTCGTTATTTTGAATGATGTTATAAAATATTAATTCATCATTTAATATTGTCCCGCGCATTGTGCGGATTCTAACACTAGTAATAAAATATACACAAGGATAATACATAAGTATTGATAATGTTAATAATTGAACATTAATATTGTTGATATATAAAAGAATAATATATATTGAAAGATATTAGATTCCTA